AAAATAAATAAATAATTATTTATTTATTTTTAAATGTATATATAATTATATTAATACATTAATTATTATAAAATATTTTATAATTTATTACATTATTAAATTATATTAAATTGTTAATTTGCTTTTTAATAAAAATTAATTTGTCACCACAGCACCATTTAAAATGAGCTACTAAAGGCAAAATGATTATTAAAAAATTAAGAAACAGTGGCACAGATTGATGACCAAAGATACACACTTACCCTCGTATAAATTTTAAGCTGAAGTGTAATATAATGTAATAAAATCATCCATGAACATGTGGTGGTTCTTTTATGACGTGTGTCAGTCTCTCTACACTGACACACAACATTCTTCTCTGTTTAGTGTCCATCTACTGTGCTGTCAGTGATGAGGTCACATTAGTCCCGCCCACCTCAAAGAGACTGGCAGTCAGTTCCTCCAGTTCCTGCTCCAGCTGATTCCTGACATGAGACAGTCTGACACACTCCTCGTCTTTCAACTTCAGCTCCTGAAAACACAGACAAAAGTCAATAAAACATAGTTTGAATAGAATCGATTTGAATGGGAGTGCCTGTTAAATAAACAGTTTACCCAAAAATGAAAATTTCCTGTAAAAAATAAATAAATAAATAAATGCAACTTTTCACAAGACGTTAACTGATGAACTGGAGTGCTGTGGATTATTGTGATGTTTTTATCAGCTGTTTGTACTCTCATTCTGACGGCACCCATTCACTGCAGAGCAAGTCATGCAATGCTACATTTCTCCAAATCTGATCCAATAATGAAAGACACGCCTGAGAGTGAGTACATTTTCAGCAAATTTTCATTTTTGGGCGAACTATTCCTTTAAAGAACCGAAGCACTGATCTGAAGAACCTACGATGAAACATCAAGAACCTTTTACACTGAAAAATGGTTCTGGGCTCATCGAATATGTGGCACCTTTTGTGCAGCATCCAGCTGCTCACTGAGGAATTCTGTTCCCTTCTCCTTGATCTCCAGAGAGGAGCTGCGCAGACGGGACATGTTGTACGTCTCTTGTCTATGTGCTCCTGCCTCCTCCTCCTCCTCCGGGGGCATCTTCTCCCTCTGCCTCCCATCACCTCCCAATGCGGGCCTCGGATCTGGCTCCAGGTCTACCAACCTGCAAGATTTCACCAACTCTCAAAAACACATGATATAAAAAAAAAACTAAAGGAATATGGTCAGGATTCATATTGGACATTATAGCATTTAAATAAAATGTTTCAAGTCTATATCATTAAATTTGATCCCACTGTGATTCTGTCCTGATGAATAGCCAATAGGACAAATTCCTTTTACATTATCAGAATAACCCAGTCATGAAAACATAGCGCCACACCCTCCTTTATATAGTCTGACAGAACTGTGGATGAATTCATACAAGCTCGTGTGTCGTTATAATCAAAATCAGCCCTGGCTGAACTTCAGGGCGGTTTATGTAACTCAGCGCTCCGCGGCAGTCGCGCTCCCCGCCCTTACCCTCACCGCGCCCGGCTACAGGACTCCCCGCGACCCGCGCTCACCGCTCACCGTCTCGCTGACGTCAACACAAAGAATGTGTCAGTCTAACAAAGTTACAGTGTTACAAAGTTGCAGCTCCGCTTTCCCGAAATGAACAGAGATAAACAGTAAGAAAAACACCAATAGATCTGGCTTGAGTTTTCCGCACCCGACTGAGCTCTGTAGCTCTGAGATTTGATCCAGATAAACGACCCGGAATTCGGATCCACGAGAGACAAATCCGTGATGTTTTGTTTTGGGTCGCACAGTTTAGCAGACTTTCCTCTCAGATTGAGCAGGAAAAATGTCCAGCTGTCAATCACAGGTCACATGACCGAGGGGAGGCCTCCAGGAATCACGTGATACGCCTCAAACAAATAGTTCAGTGTCACTGTTCTGTTCTGTATGTTATTTATGATTCTGCTATTTTGTTTGTTCAGTTCTGGTGTGTTATGTTTGTGCCATTCTGTGATGTTGTGTATGTTATTTTATGTGTTATGTTATTTTATGTTACATTGTTTGCTCAGTTTTTGTATGTCCCATCCATGGTTCTGTTTTGTTGCACATATCATTTAATGTTGTTATGTTATGTTATGTTATGTTATGTTATGTTATGTTATGTTTGTTATGTTATGTTATGTTATGTTGTTCATTCAGTTCTTGTATGTTATGTTATGTTGTTAAATTGTTTGTTCAGTTCTAGTATGTCATGTTTGTTCCATTCTGTTATGTTGTGTTATGTTATATGTTATGATAATTTCTTTGTTGAGTTCTAGTATGTTATTTTATGTTATGTTATGTTAAATTGTTTGTTATGTTATGTTATGTTATGTTATGTTATGTTATGTTATGTTAACCGGTTAGTTCGGTTCTAGTAGGTTATGTTATGTTTGTTATGTTATGTTATGTTATGTTATGTTATGTTAACCGGTTTGTTCGGTTCTAGTAGGTTATGTTATGTTTGTTATGTTATGTTATGTTATGTTATGTTGTTCATTCAATTCTTGTATGTTATGTTATATGTTATGTTATGTTATGTTATGTTATGTTATGTTATGTTGTGTTATGTTATACGTTATGTTAATTTCTTTGTTCAGTTCTAGTATGTTATTTTATGTTTTGTTATGTTAAATTGTTTGTTATGTTATGTTATGTTAACCGGTTTGTTCAGTTCTAGTAGGTTATGTTATGTTTGTTATGTTATGTTATGTTATGTTATCTTGTTCATTCAATTATTGTATGTTATGTTATATGTTATGTTATGTTATGTTAAGTTAAATTATTTGTTCAGTTCTAGTATGTCATGTTTGTTCAATTCTGTTATGTTGTGTTATGTTATATGTTATGTTAATTTCTTTGTTCAGTTCTAGTATGTTATTTTATGTTATGTTATGTTAAATTGTTTGTTATGTTATGTTATGTTAACCGGTTTGTTCGGTTCTAGTAGGTTATGTTGGTTCTATTCTATTCTGTTATGTTATGTTATGTTATGTTAAACTGTTTGTTCAGTTCTGGTATGTTATGTTGGTTCCATTCTGTTCTGTTATGTTCTGTTATGTTGTGTTCATTTGTTTGTTCAGTTTTGGTTTGTTATGTTTGTTCCATTCTGTTATGTTGTGTACAGTATGTTATTTTAGGTGTTGTGTTTTGTTAAGTAATGTTATGTTTGTTATATTATGTTATATTATGTTGTTACTTAAAAGTTCCTAGTTCTGACTGATTTTCACACATTGATATTGCATGCCTACAATTCTGCTCATTCAGTAGGATGAGTTTCAATCCTCATTATTCATTCACAAAAATAATAGTGTGTGGAAAATTTTGCTCTGTCACCATTTAGCAGTTGTTACATGACATTAGACCCATTGAAGTTACATCTAAACAAACAGAGTAATGCAATGGTACTTTCTGTTTAGGTGAAATCTGGACGTACCTCCCGACCGGGCATCTCTCTTTCTCTGCTGTATGCTGATCCGTAAGATCACCTTTGCCAAAGAATGCAGGTGATGAGTATACTGCTATCCCAGAATTCCCTGCCACCAGCACCTCGTACCCTGGAACAGACCTGGAGCGTGCTGGAGGAGAGGAGGAGAGCTGCACACGATGGATTCCTTCAAAAGTGTCCATCACTTAAAGTATTTTCCCAGTCCACCACCTCTCTCTCTTAAACACAAAATCGCTGTGAATGCATTCACTTCAGCTGCATTTCTTACAGCCAGCCTGGTAAATATAGAGAGATTAGATTCAAGTTCAGAGATTAAGGCATTTTTTTCTGCATGAATAACCTCTAAAGTTTCAATTCAGGTTATCAAAGTGTAACTAAAGCATTGCACCATAACCTAATGTTTGCAACAATGTAGTTAAATATATACGTAGCATGCTCTCAAAGAGACAAAACTGGAAAGTATTTAAATATAAAAATGGATAAATACTCAGGATACAACATTATCCTTATTATACATAAAAGTATAGAATAATGAGATATATTAAATAATTAGATATAATCTGTTTAAAGCTGTAAATTGGAAATAAACAGAAAGGTACATTTAATTAAGTGACAAAATGTTCAATAAAATGTTCTAGCTGCTTTTGACATAGAGATGGTGAAGTGTTAATGCCATTTTTAAATGTGCCATATAATGCATTAAATATCTGAGTTCTTCCCATGTCAAATGCAAAGACAGAGCACAGAAAAATCAGGCTTACCCCAGTGACCTGGTGCAGCTCTTTCTCCACAGACTCTTTATGCAAGAGCACTTTCAAAAACCCTGTTCTCGTGAAATGCACACTCCGATACGATTTGCATGTTTTGAGCATCTAAACGGTTGCAGCTCTTCACATTGGGTGACTTGCACCTTCGTTCCAACCCTGAACGGAGTTCCAGCGCTTGTGGTCAGGCACGGGTTAATGAAATGAAACGGGGCCACACGCAGAGATGCATTTCTTCCACTAGAAGGCCCTGCATAGTGTACTAAACACCCTGCTGAGGGCCTCTGTGATCAGCAAGTTGTTATAGGAGCCTAAACTCCTAAATGTAATTAAGAAATGTTGATTATTTATTTCCTGTATATCTACATAATATTTACATTACATAACTGCAATTAATACTTGATGACTCTTTTCATCAAGAATGTGTATGAGTGTTTGTGCATGTGTGAGTTTTGAAAGATTTGCTCAGATTAACAAACCCCCCCAGTTTTCCACAATGCCTCTTTGTTAGTGGAAAACAGATTAACAGGTCAAGTGACCGGAGGTGTGGGCGTCTCATGTACTCGATCTTTCCCGTCTTTAACGGTTCCGGTAAATACCATCGACTCCCGAAACATCACACACTGTGAGTAGAGTTGCTTATTTCTTATAGATACAGTGTTTCAGGCCTACAGACAAGAAATGGAATGCAATTGCATTTGATGTGATGGACTTCCAGTCTGATTTTTTGTGTTTCTCTTTTAATTATTCTTTTAAATCTCACATTTGCTTCAATTGTTGCAATCAGTTTAGGTGTTGATGTATGCTAACTAACATCAAAATAGCATCTGATTTCTGTTTGCACATGCACTATGTGATTTAGCCAGTGCTGAGCATGCATGCATGTGTTTCCTGGTATAGTTGTCTATACTTATCATCTCTAATCACAGTGAAAGGTCAGTAGAGACTGTGATTGACAGGTTGTGAGTGGTCTTCCTTTCCAGAGAGGGCAGCGATGACGGTGACATACTCACGGCGGGTGGCAGATGCGCGTCTGGGCACTTTTTATTGCCTGCTTCTGCGATGGAAAGGAAGCATCTATAAACTGTTATATCGAGAGCTGCTGATCTTCACTGTGATGTACGGCACAATCAGCGTCACGTACAGGTGAACACTGATTCTTCACTTTCTTACAGTTTTTGTGGCACTATGGCAAAGTACTGGTATTAGATAGTTATACCATGATATATATCATGGTATTAAAAGACCTTCAGAAAGTGCCATGTTTTTAAGACATGTATCATGGTAGCACCATTAAGTACATAGTATAGTACGCAGAATACCATGGTACTACCATTTACCATATTAGTAGCAGCGTAGTATTTCTGGAAGTACATTGGAGTAACATGTATATATCATTGGAACATGAATCGTATATTTTAAGTTACATATTACATTGGAGTTACATGTTAATACCATTATATATTAATTTCAGTACCAGTGGTTGTACCATGGTACTTTTTTAGGTTTAAAATGTATACTCCAAAAGATATTTCAAAGATCACCATGGTAAATAAAAACATATTAATACTATGGTATTTTAATATATAACAGGATACATGATAATACCATGGTACTTTGATATACTCTTGTACTAAATGATTAACAAATCCATATACCATGGTATTTCCAACTCACTGCGGAGAATTTATTGGTATTACCATGTTTTTTAACATTTAACCATAGTAGCATAGTATTTCCAGATGTACTTGTATATTGGATTACAGTAGTTTCAGTACCAAGTACCATGTGATACCATAATTATACCATAATACCGACCCAGTACTTTTTTGTAAGGCTAATATTTATATGGTTCTCCAAAAGGTATTTTTAAAGAATACCATGGTAAATGGTACCATGGTACTTTAATATGTACCAGGATACTAAATGATTACCATATTAATATACAATGGCCACAATGTACCCTCACAGAGAAATGTAGGTCAGATATTTTAAGGTTCATCCGATCTCATTTTGTAAGTATCTTTTCTTTCTGTTTTAAAGAAGTTTTCTTTGGATTGTTTGATTACTCAAAAGAGAATATAGGAAAATATAACTTAATGTGTTTCCTGCTAGCTAAATTTCACATACACATACTGGCTCTAAACCTCTCTTTTCTTTATTCAGAGTTGATCTAGACAAGTATATGGAAACTATCCAATCTTAAAGCAGTGAAAACTGCATCTCTATATTCATCCTATGTGTCTTCTTAAGGTGAAAAAACATGGTTACTATAGGTAAACCGAGGTAAAAAGGATTCGCGATACAAATTTTCTTTCAGTCTACAGTGTCAAAGTGTGTTACTTTTAATTGTTTTATTTAATAAAACCATCCGTTATTGAAATATGTGCTCTTTGATTGACAGGTGCATACTGACTGAAGAGCAGCGCAGGATGTTCGAGAAGCTCTCCGTGTACTGTGATCAGTACGCGCAACTGATTCCCTTGTCGTTCGTACTGGGTAAATGTGACTTACAGTAGTGCTTTCTTTGGACCAATTCTTGACTTTTCTCACAGATGAAACTGTCCTGCAGGTTTCTACGTGACTCTTGTGGTGTCTCGTTGGTGGGGTCAGTACGAGAGCATCCCGTGGCCGGACCGTCTGTCAGCGCTGGTTAGCGGACACGTCCGGGGCGCAGATGAAGGGGCCAGACTCATCCGCAGGAGTCTAATGCGTTACGCCAACCTGTCGGGCATCCTGATCTACCGCTCGGTCAGCACCGCTGCCTACAAGAGGTTCCCGACCATGAGCCACCTCGTTCAAGCAGGTAAACTCCCAGATAGCACACGCACGTCTGCAAGATGTCTGTTAAAGATCGCTTGATCTGGAAAGCATCTGCTGTGTACAAACATCTGATAGACGTCTTTAAGATGTCAGTTTTACATGCATTCTAAATCATAAACATCTTTAGGATCAAACATCTGATAGGAAACGTCCTATAGATGTAGGCAATAACATGCATTTTGTATGATCCCTCTTATTTTGGTAAAATAATTAACATTTTGCATATTCTGCAAGGGGTATGTAAACTTTTGACCTCAACTGTACGTGTGCTATCAGGGCTGTGATTCGGCCTAAGTAATTTGGCCTAGAACAGCGATTAAAGCCATGTTCTGTGCCGGTACCATTCAGATTAAAACTCAAAAAGGAAACAAGAAGGAATTACGGCCAGATAGGAAACGTCCTATAGATGTAGGCTATTGCAGATGAGCAAACACTCTAAAAAATACATCTTGCAGATGTAAATGCAGACGTCAAATAGACATCTCCGTGATGTACAGTTGAGGTCAAAAGTTTACATACACCTTGCAGAATCTGCCAAATGTTCATTATTTTACCAAAATAAGAGGGATCATACAAAATGCATGTTATTTTTTCTTTAGTACTGACCTGAATAAGATATTTCACATGAAAGACATTTACATAGAGTCCACAAGAGAAAATAATAGTTGAATTTTTTTGTGTGATAGTTGTTCATGAGTCCCTTGTTAAAGGTTCAAACGCTCACTGATGCTCCAGAAGGAAACACATTTTTACATTTTGATTTGGAGATCAGGGTAAATTTAAGTTATTTTGTCTTCTGGGAAACATGTAAGTATCTTCTGTAGCTTCCGAAGGGCAATACTAAATGAAAAAAAAAAAAGATATTTAGGCAAATTAA